GTTTTCCTCTCGATTAAATTTTCTCTATTAAAGAATCATGAAGCACACTTGCTCCGTTCCTTGAACACCAGGGTATCTGCTTCCGTCAACTGTGATAGCTAACCCCATTAAAGAAGTGAAAAAGGAGATTCAATATAGTTTCTAGTGACCATGCACTTAAATACTTTGGAGGAAATCAGAAGTAGGCAGATGTTACTTTTTCAACCAAAGAAAGGGGAAAGAAGAGGAAGAAGAATTGTGTTCCAGTATAGCCTATGTCGAAGTTTTCACCTGAGGATAAATCGATAATGTATCATACTATATTATAAGTGTGAAGCACTAAAGTAAAAGGTGAAAGACCAAAATAGCCATCAAAAGTTTGAACGACTATTTTGCCCTTTGAACAAGCATTATTTCAAGAAGCTTTTTGTATAAAAATGTAAATAGACATTCCAAGTTATCTTTTTTTATATTTTTTTAAATCTCCTCTCATATTTTCAATTAATGCTCTTTTAATTTGAAGGGGACGTTGAGAAGACAAAAGTTGCTATAGACCGTCTGAAGAATTTGAAGAGTTGTCGAGAATAATTAGTAGCCTGATACATTTGACAAACCCTCAATAAAGGATCAGAGTAATCTACTAATTAAATGTCTATACATTATGAAAAATCTGGATATAAATGACTTATTCAAGCTCTGGAATTCTGAGAGCTTTTATCTATAGTTAACTGTTTGGAGTGCTCATTCATCTGCATATTTTATTATCATATGTTTTACTATATTCTTATTACCCTTTCTTTCATTTAATTCCCTTTAAGTTCTTGCATAAAGTTTAAGTTACAATTCTACAACTTAATTGTCTTTCTACATATTTACTTAAAATTTTATAGAAATTTTCAGTAACAAAAGAGTGGTTTTGATGATTGCCTTGGGAAGAGATGTTGAGACGTCATGGCATTTGTCTCCCATTGAAATATTGCTCTGTAACTTTTTTCTCCACTCTTAGAAAAGATGGCATATGCAGCAACGAAGCCAACCAACAAGCTTGGGATTAAGAAGCCACAGGCGCATAGGCACATAAACACAACAGTAAAATCACTCTTTCCTCCTAAAATGTTAAGATGATGGTATTGAAGTTGAGGTTAATGTCTGTCATTAGATTCATTTTCCTTACATAAATTAATTACTGAAATGCAGGCATGCTATATATATTGACTTTTTGGAAGTACTCTTTCAAATTTGTAGCTAAAAAAGTGTTCTCTATTTATAGTTTAGTGTCTTTATATGTATAATAATAATGTTTAGGCTTTTGGGTTTTAAGTGTTCAAAGCTATTTTTGCAGTAATATTGATTTTGAAAACTTCGGTACAACTCATATTTTATCATCTAAATCTATGTATAAATGAATAAGAACTTAAGATTTTTCAAATTACAATATTACGTACAATTTTGTATGTAATACTAACTACCATTCTAACTTCATTTTCCTTATTTTAGGAGAAAAACTTAAGATTTTGTTTGAATGATTGTAAGTCCCCAGACCCTACATGTGGGATTATACTGGGTATGTTGTTGTTGTTTGAATGATTGTAAGACTTCGACTTCTTCGTCATATTTGTATTTTTAAGTGAGAAAGAAATACAAAATTGTTTAGGAGAAAACCACAAAGGGCTGAAAATTGTGCCTTGTAAGGGCTTCAAAGTGTTAAAGTGCTACAAAAGGTGAGAAATTCCAAATTTTCTTTAGGAGCATTTCCATGGGCTTAAATATAGTTTAGATAGCAATTTCATCATTGTAATATGTAAGTTGAACTCTTGCTTAAATCACCTTCATTTAACCCTCCCGTAGAACACTATAAATTCAACTTCTATGATTGTGTAGAGTATCCACGGAATATGAAACAGTCTAATCGTTATTTTACCATTTGCACACAATGTGTCAAATATTTGTAGATTCATTTTTGTTTAGAACATATTTGTAGATCCATCTTCATTTTAAACTAGCTCTAAATAATATATTTGTTTTACTGTAGTCATGGGAATTTTTACTATCTTAGTTGTTTATAATAATTAAAAAACAAAATATTACAATGCAATTATGATGCTGAAGTTTCTATACTACATGATATGTACATTAAAATAGAAGGGGAAAAAAAAGATGACACATGCATATTTAGGAAAGAGCAAATAACCTTATCAATGCTAACTTTTTGCACATCTCTTAGATTTTACTTTATATTTCAATCAAATGTTTTTAAAATATATATAGGTAAATTTGAACTATTTTTCAACATATATTATATAAAATTGATGGAATACACGTGCAAAGCACGTGTCAAAAAACTAGTATGGCTAAAATGAAGGAGTAAACAAGAAAGAAATACTTACGTCCCCTCTTCAATATTCAGCTTCCTGTAAAAGCTAACCACAAACATGCCAACAAGACGTCCATAAGTTGATCCTATCATGATACCTGGCACAAACTGACCTGCTGGAACTGCAGTTCCAAAGGTCACCACTGCCAAGGTGTAAAACATAACCTGACAGACCAATAAACCAACCATTAGTTTCCTGCATAATTGTAACCCACCAAGACATAAGAGGTTTTGCTATAACTTTCTTCCCTAAACTGTATAATTGACACCAGGAAAAGAGTGCTCTTAAGCACAAGAACTCAAGCTGTGTTGGCAGAGAAGCATAAAATTTGAAGATTTAAGAAGAAAATTTTCAGAAATGCACGCTAAACAAAGTGATTCCTGCCTCAATCAAGTATCACTCAACACACAACCTGAGCACAAGAATAGCAAAGTTCCAGTGCAGATAGAGAATCATATCCCACCCCACAAGAAACTCACATCCCGATACTTTGAATTAAACTCAAGACACCATTACAAAATTCTTTTACAATGTTAACTTTCAGAAACAGCAGTTCTATAGGGATTTCAATACAGCTATCATGTTTTGCTAAATTTCAAGCACATGATTTTTCCTAAAAATTATCAGTAACACTTCACCGAAATGGAAATGTTAGGATGACACCAAAAATTCATGAAGCTATCATCTTGCACAATCACGAACGGGAAGGGACTAGGGAGAGAGAACAATTATTCAATACCAAAAATGTCAGTAGGCTTTGAGCACTGAATTCGTGAGCTGTCTTTGCACTGAATAAATTTCTTATGGCGTCATCCTGCAGACATGTATGATACAAAAGCTCCATCAGCGAAAAGGAAACTTGACAGCATTAACAAAAATGAACGCAGGTTCAAAAATTGTTTAAAGACCTGAGTGTTGAAGAATATGGTTGCGAGGTCATTGTACTCTTTGTTGTTCTGACAGTAAAACTGCAAATTCACACAATTAAAGCATCAACAACAAAAGAAGAAAAGCCAAATTGGATATCAAGAAAAACAAAGAAGCAAATATCAACACAACCCAATGACACAAAGATAAATGAAACATTTCTAGATATTTCAGCAACGCCTGGAGTTGGACTAGAAATGTCAGCACATAATTAATCAAACCACAGTCGTAAATCAACTGCTAGTCCTGGATCGAGTATGCATAACAGATTTGTATACACATTCAATTGCTTCGAGCAAATATTTTCCAGATACACTTTTTCAACTTCAACGTCAAATACTCTTATTTTTTAAATTTCAAACCAAATGATGTCCAAACACTAAACAGATTCAAGAACAGTTCTCTTGGAGGTAGGAATAAATGCTTCGCCAATCTAACAGAACATAGATTTGAAACAAAGAGGACAACAGAATTCTGGAACCATGCGGCAAAGACAACACAATTTTACTCTCTATGTTTTACAAGTAATTTGTGTATACGAGCACCAAAGCAAGACCCGGCCTGTGTTGACAAAGAATAGAAGCATCAATAATGATCCAGAACAAGAAGAGATCAGTTAAGAAGTAAGATGGTCAGGTATCCACAAGCACTACAAACAAGCTCTTTAAGTCCATAAAATGCTAAGCCTGAAATTTTTCATGCAAGAAACTAAGGTGCCTGCAATGCCAAACACAAACGGAACTGTTGACTGTACTTCTCCACATCTCACAGCTTCCTACCCATTAAGAGCCAATTGACATGCTTGATATGCATCAAAGAGTATGTGCATAGGATTTAGAAAGGACACCACATGCAGCATAGACAGTTACAAGCTTAGAAAAATGATAAAAACAAAATCTATGAGAACCTAAGCAAAAGGGACTAAATGCTTTAATAACGATAAAATAAAAGAGAAGTTATAGTAAGTCATAGAGGATCTTACATTAACATAATTGCCAAACATTCCCGGTGCTTGCGGACATTCAATGCCAGAGTTAGCATCGGCTTCAGGGCACGGAGTACATTTTCTAAAAAGTGGCAATCCAAATGAAATGGCTGAGGTTATCACAGAGATGATACAAGCTTCAATAATCTGAAAGTGGGAAACCACAAAATTAGTTCATCGAGCTTAGTAAATTAACGTACACTCATCTTTAAGGATGAGAATACACAACTGCAAGAAATTCCTGATCTTAATAAGTAAACTTACTTTAACACGATTTCCTTTCTTGTGCAAATAATTTCTACGCCAGTGTGTCATATAGAGAGTAAGCTGATTGAACAATGCTCCTGCAAAGGTCAATGCATGACAAATTGATTTACCAAACATTTTTCTCCGGTATCTCAACATCTTAATGTCGGTCTAACATACCAAGAAGACCTCCTATAACTCCAATAACTGCCATGGGCAACAACTCCTCAAAAGAATAGTCCTCTTGACCACTGAGAGAATTGCAAGATGTCAAAAAAATAACGACGATATTGTGCAGAAGAGCTAAATGAAGTTAGTACAGAAGACCTAAATGAGTTCAGAAGCTAACCCTGAGATGTCCCATATAATGAAGCCTCCAGCGC